ACCCCCCCCCCCCCCCCCCCCCCGTTGACACACTTTCACAAGGCCAGGCCTCTTAATCCTTCTAATCCTTTCAAATAATGCCACTCCTGGTGAAGCATTCAAATATATGAGCCTGTGGAAGCCATTCTTAGTCAAACTACCACAGAAACTTATATTTTATCTTATATTTAAGTTTTGATATTTTATTTCAAAGTGGCCTCCTTTTTGTATATTGTTAGCCTTTTTGTATACTGTTAGAACGGGTAAAAAGCTTCGATACAAAGCAATTGCATTAATTAAAGAATTTTCTGTTTTATTATGTTGCATACTCATATATAATTTGAAATGATAAAATTTAACTTGTAAGACTTTACTTTTTACCATTATATTTAGTTAATAATATTCCCCCATTTTTCTTTTCAGCCTTCAAAGCCTCTTACATTCCAGTAGAAAACTCTCTCTACAAGTCCTTAACTTTGTTCACTCATTCCAGGTAACACACCCAAAACATGCAAATGGTGTTATATAGAGCTTCATAATATGTGAAAGGCTCTCTTTGTGTTTGATTCTGAGTCCTCCCCAATAGCAAGATATGTAATCATCACGGTCCAAACGTTAACTGACTTGCACATTTCACTGAGCTGGCCTTGTTCTGTGCAAGAGTTCATTGAGCCGAATATGCTTGACTCTTATGTTGTGTGTTGTGTGTCCTGCGTGCTAGTGTGGAGGCCAGTCTGGAGTCTGCTGAGTACGATTCTTACCCCGCCGTTCTGTAGGCCATCCCTGGTGGTTTCAAAGCACTTACTGTGAGTGCTTGTCATTTTTGTCATTTTTGCACGCGTCACTGTGTCTCCCGTAGGACTTTGCATGCTGTGAACACTCTCTGAGACTAAAAGTGAGCTAGCTCTCTTGTTCCTTGGTCTTTAGGAAGGTGCTTCAACTCTGGATCTTCACACGGAGCCCGGCTTTCCCAGTGTGCTTTCCCAGTCGTCCTGGGCCGACACGGGAGTTCCGCTTCCTGCCAAAAACCTGATGTTCAAAGACGGCCTCTTGTCAGAGTGGAGTGGACGCTCGCCTTCCTCCTTTCTCCTTGCGAATCTCCACCTGCAGTAATTTGATTACACCATTGATTGCTCACACGTTCTGCCTTTTTCTTTCTTGACATTGGCTTTACAGTGTCAGCCACCAAGAGCATCCTCTGCTGCGGTGCCGCCCGTGCTCGCTATAGGAAGTGCTCAGAGCCTGCCGGTTTTCCGAAGGAAGCCGTAGTGTTGCACGTCTTACTGCAGTGCAGCCCAGTGCTCTTCAGCAGCCAGCACCGCGTTTTTACCTTGAGACAATCTGCATTTCTTTTCTAAAACTAAGGATGTACTTTATAGGTTCTAGGTGACTGTTAGGTTTATAAGCAGTCACTCTGAATATTGCAGTGTAGTTTTCTAGGTTAGTTTCTCAGACATAAACCTGGTTTAATTTTATATTTTGTTATCTACACTAAGGGGATCCCAGGAGGAGATGGAACTCTTCCTCCGACAGGTAGTCCCGCTGGAAAGTGGCAAGTGTCCAGCAGTGAGAGGTCTGTACCAGGGCATTAAGGGTTCCTGTGGATGTCTGTGAATTATGTATGCCAAGTGAACAGGATTGGGGAAATGTCAGTCAGCATGGTGTGTAAGCTTCACCTTGGTTTGTAAGGTCTCAACTGACTATTCATTGACATCTCGTGAAAAAAGCTTTGGAAAACATTCTATTTTTAAATGATGTTTGTATGTGGGCTTCTGCTGTCAACTCAACTTTGGGCTTTATATTTTCATAGAGTCTTTATGGAAAAGTAGAATTTATTTTCTACTTGTACTTGAGGCTGTCGCGTGTCTCATTTTGTCTTGTAGCGTTACCAGTGAACTGTTAGGACAGTTGACTTTGGTTTCCAAGCAAGGATTGTGGTTGGGAGCTGCCCAGTCGCAGCGTCAGGGCGGTCTTTGGACTCAGCTCCATGGTAAGGCAATTGACTGTGCATACACAGCACCTGGACAAAGCCTGGCACACAGCCCTGAGGGGCAGTGGGAAAGCACTGGCTGGCCTCACGCGCTGCTTCGGGAGGTCGTTCTTTCTCGTCTCAGATGTCAGGCTTTGTGGAACCACACAGAGGCATTTCAGGTCACCTCCCTTGGGGGATTGTGCAGGGTTAGATTAGCTCCCCTTAGAGGGCAATGGCTTGCTAGTGTGAAACTAACCGAGCTAACAGGTCTGGCTTCAGGCTGTTTGACAGTGGTTGAGCCTAACAGTTTTGCTGATGGCCTTTGTTATTTATGCAGCTGATATTTGTGTATTTAACAAACTTCTGGAAGTATATGCCTTTCTTGGAACCATTCTAGTGGCCATGCATTTAATACCCATGGCCTATCTGTAGAACTGAGGATTTTGGACCAGGTTACTTGTAACACAGTTAGTGCTGTGTTTGGGGTAAATGCAGTAATGTTTAGTTTTGTACTTTGTCTTGTATAAGGTGTGTATGTCAGGTTTGTCTGTAAAGGAAAAGTACGTAGTAACATTAAACGATCTCTATGACTGTGAAACACTCATTAGTGCATTCCCAGGGCTGCTGGCTGTGTGTATGTTTAACTTTACAGCTCCCACTGAAAGTTGTATTTCATTTGATCAGGGCTCTTTAATCTCACTTTATTTTGCTTTGTTTGAGTTAACTGTGGTATTTATCCTTGTATTAGCAGTTGAGCACCAACTCTAACGACATGTACACTAATAAAGAATTGAACAGTTGTAGTTACAACAGTGAGTCCAGTTATTGCTGACTTTATAGCTTAAAATATGGGAGTGATTTGCTGCTATAATTCCTTTGCAAAACACTGAAGGAAGAGATGGAACCTAACCACGATGGTGAACTTCAGGGACACGTTTCATCTCTGGTTTCTTGTGTGAGTGGGGAGTGGGGCCGCCAGACGCCCAGCGAATGTGCCCGGTCTTAGGAGGACCGTCTGCATCAGAGAAGGTGATGTGGGTGTTTGTGCTTTGCTTTATGAATGTGGCCTGTTCCACTCATGTGAGCTCATGCAGAGATGCCTCTGTTAAGTCGCTTAGAAATAAACAAACAAACAAACATAGACTTTGTTCTTTGCCAAAGAGAATTGATAGAAGTCGTATCCAGTTCCTTTGCAAATGTTTGGTTCCGTTTGGCTGTGCACTGTCCTCATTCCTTCCCCCGCACCCTTACTGTAGCTTGACCCATTGTGAGCAAACATTTAGACACCAGGGAAACAAGAGCTATTAACATCAGAAAGGGCACACAGGTTAGTAGGGGTCGAGCTTCACCTCACAGATGCACCTAAAGCAGCATACCTTAGTCAGTCAAGAAGTTAGGGTTGTTTGGTTCTTAGAGCAGAGGTTCTCAACCTGGAGGGGTCAAATGAGCCCTTTCAGAGGCCGCATATCAGATATCCTGCATATCAGATAGTTACGTTGTAATTCATAACAGCAACATTACGGTTCTGAAGTAGCAACGAAAATGATTTTATGGTTGTGGGTGACCAGCATGAGGAACTACAGTAGCCGGCCGCAGCGTTAGGAAGGGTGAGAACCACTGCTCTGGGGCCTTTCTTGTTTCAAATACGTAACCAGATGCTTCTGTATTTGTTTGAGGGAAGTTGATTTCTCTTACTGGCTGTT